TGTGTCTCGAAGTCGAAAAGAAAATATTTATTTCCTTTTTCTGCTTGTGAATCAGAACGTTCTATTTAAAGAAAGTGCCCTCTGCCGGATTGCTCATGAGTTATTACCCCTTATGGAAAAAAAGGAGAAATATCAGGAGGTATTCTTAGTCATTCCCTTTCCCTGTCTCTTCTTGTTTTTTCCCTAATTCCTTATATACCCATGTTTGAGAGAAGTGCCTAAGATAGAGCAAGACATCTCGGCATTCCCGGGCCTAAAAAAGACTTTCTCTTTTAACCCTCACATTGAAACGTAGGAGGTTACACATTTCAGTCCTTTCACTTTGGGTGTCAGCGGATGCACTCCTAATGTTCAGTCACCATTACAATGATACAAACGCTCCCCACCCTCCAGATTTATCTGTTCACGGAGCAGCTCCCTCCTAAGCCTCAGGCTCCAGCCTAAAGCCGTGGCTTACCTGCAGTCCTATCATGCACCAACAGGTTCCAAGTACGGAGTACCGAGGATGGCTGGACGGCTGTTGGCTGTACCAGCACATCTAGGAAGTCCCAGCTTGCTCGTGTGTTCTCTATTCCATATGAACCCACAGATTCCTGCTATTTCAGAATTATTCTAGCCAAACCGAACTTGGAAAAACGGTGCAGTAACCTTTTATGGGACAGACTTTCTGTGTGCAACATGCTCCACACCTCGGGCACGGCCGCGCACAGCGCCCTCCAGCACTGCTCCCCACAGGAGATGGGATGAGGCAGTGAGACCAGCCATCCCTGAGCCCTTCCCTGAGCCTCAGAGGCTGTTTGCTCCCCCCAAGCCAAAGGGAGAGGCAGAGGCTGGAGAAAATGAATGAATCAGAAGACGCGTGAGGAATAGCTACAAGGAAATGTCATCACATCCTTCCAGCCTGCAAGTTAAAGAACGTGAGCGAGGGACGAGCACAGAGGGGTCCTGAGATGTCCCTGCTCATTTCAAGCCCTGTGTTTTGTTTCAAAGCAGGACAGACGAGGACACGCTTTCCTTAACAAACTGTGTCGGCATTTAAAGTGAATTTGGGCAGCATGTTCTGCTAATGGGAAGCATGACACAGCCATCACATCTAAAGAATGCTTGCAGTCCCCTTCCTATCTTAGTATTTCTAAGAGCTGAGGAGATACAGCACAATTCTCCTCTCGGCAATCGATGCCAGTCCTGTGAAGCCAAATTTCCTTGGCATTTATGAGCACTTCTAAAAACAAACAAACCCAGCAACGTTTAAGTGCTCTGTGTTGTGGGAACAAGGAGGTTGAACTCCTGCAAATCGCTGACACCAGAAAGCATGCTCAAAAAACAGCAGTTTTCCACTGGCCCAGATGTGAAGCCAAGAATGCTGCATCTTCAGCTGCCAGCTCTTATTTTTCGCACAGCTATTCCTCTTTCATGGGACAGTTTCTGTCTTTGCCCTGATGGAAAGCAAAGCGCTTATTTTGCTTGTGTTAAAAAATAAAAGCCTACCTTGTCTGTATGAGTCAGAACTTCAGTGTTCTGTTTCAGCAAATAGTTTCTTAAAATGAACATTAAAGCAAGGGAATTCACAACAACAGCGTTTTATCACCCAGCTTTAACCCACTCGCTCCTGTCTGGTTAAAAGCAAAGACACCCAAAAGAATGGGGGAAAAAATCCCATCTCTTTTTCTCAAGGTGGCTTTCTGCATTCCCTATGAATTTTCAGGCTGTTAGTGGAAACAACAAGTAAGCTGACAGTTGCAGCAAAACAGCATTCTTGTAGGTCTTTTCCAGCCTTGGTGACTCTATGATGCTAATATTCTTTGCCTCCTGAAGGGAGATGTTTGACACCAGAGCTGGGTCTGGATCAGACAGTTGGGCTGAAGAAGAGCAGAGCTCTGTTTGCAGATAGCAGCTCGTGCTTCCCAATGCCTTCAAAGAAATGCAGCTTACTGTTCTGTTTCAGTTTCATTTTCATAACCCCAGTCCTGCCGAGGCTGGAAAAGAGAAGCTATTTCTGCAGTGTTCATGGTAAAGCAGAGATCAATTGCACACCAAGGCCCTTAAGCAGATCTCCTAGATGTCCAAAATTGATTGTTTTTATTATTATTAATGACATAAGAAAAAATAAAAGTGCTCCCAGGGCCCAGAATGCCTCCAGTACAGCAGCACCAGCTGCAGCTCCCCAGGACCCTGACATGGTGCTGATGGTGCCCACACAGCAAACAGCATTCCTTGCTGTGAGCAGTGCCAGGGCCATGCAGGTGAGTTGGTCTGACAGCAGACCTGCTGGGGTGAAGGGCAACAACTCTTTGGGCAAAAGGCAGAAGCACTATGAAAGTTAAGAAACTGCTGATCATTAAAAACAGACCCAAAAAACCATCCAAGTTTTTAGGACTACGGGTTGGGTGGGAGCATTATCCAGAGTATGAACTACAGGAAATGCAACGAGGGCTTATCCATGAGTGGTAATTCGGGTGTAAAGAACAATTATCCTTCCTGAAACAAAAATTACTAATGTATCTAATAGAACTGACAATTCCAGTGCACTGGTAACGCGCCCATTAGCCAGCACTGATTAGTTATCAAAGCCTAATGAAAGCATTTGATTTCCAGCCATTGTGAGCCCAAACCACAAGTTGCACAGACACGCTGTCAAAAAAATGAATGCCAACTTGCAAAAGGCACATCCCTCTTGGAGCACAACAAAACTGGGTCTCAGCTCAGCGCCGCTGCAGGAAACAACAGGCAGAGGCTGCAGGAAAGCAGGCAGAAGTCTGATGAACGTGGTACAGAGGGAGGGAAAATTCCTGCGTTTTCCTCTGCCTACTCAACTTTACTGACACAGGACAGAAATGTTTTCATGGTACGGATACTCAGCACGAGTGGCCGCATGGAAAGCTGCTGAGCACATCACTCCATGGCTATTCCTACAGCCCTCCGTGCTGAGGACAAGGCTCGGTGCCAATGTGCAGGCAGAAGCAGAGTTTATCCCAGGGATTCCTGCTCAGCACAAAGGGAAATGGGAAGGTTTGGAGTGACTGCAAGTTTCTGAGCTGCTGTAGACATACTGGGAAGTGAAAGGCTTCAAGAGTGCCTGCAGGAACAGGCAAGGTCAAAGAGTGTTGGGGTGGGTTTAAGGCAGTGTTTGAGGACATCTGACGGAGGACAAATATTCCTTCCTTTCAGCTAGGAAATGTTCCTGTCCAACAGGAGAACAAAAGCGCCGCAGAAATGTGAGAGGGGCCACGGAGAAAGAAAGTTTGTTCGTGCACACCGCAAAAATAAACAGTACCACAAAGTCAATGGAGACTGAAGTTAATAGATATGGCTTGTACCAGGCCTGGCGCTCCGTGCGTAATGGAGAGAGGGAACAGTTCTTAAAACCATGAATGTAAATACAAACCTGTACCAGAAATGTAAAAGACAAGGACAAAGTTACGCCAAGGTCACGGAAGAAAGGATCTGCACCACTCCAGTTTGGCCTGACTTCCAGCAGCCGCAGAGGATAGGAGCTGGTGCAAAAAATTACCCCACAAGCCTTTGTTGAAAACATATTTAAAATTAAAAGTAAGGTCAGCTGTAAGTGCTAAGGTCCAGAAAAACACAGCTCCCACCTTTCGGCAGGAGCAACTTCCACATTGCAGCCTGCAGAGAACCAGAATGGTGTTTTCCCCCAGGTGCTTTCCAGTGCAGAGCGCACTGTCAGCAGGTAACCCTGAGCTGCCCATTGCCAACTATTGCCAACTGTATATCAACAGCACATTTTGTTCCATTTTTTTCTGCAAAAAACACATTCTGAAGATGACATGGCAACACCGAGCTAGTATTCTGCCACAATAATTCACAAGAAAAGAAGGCAACACAAAGACGAGCTCAGAGGAATGCAGCTCTGTATGGAGATGTGGGGGATGGAAACTCAGCTGTGCATTAGGAAAGGGAAAAGGGGACTGAGCTCCAATACTGACCCAAACTCCCACTTCAGCCCTTCAGGAATTTCCTACTGCAAAGAATGACAAGATAGGACTGAGCTTCGTTTTCGTGGCAAGCCTACCCTGCTTCTTCATGCAGTGTGGACACATTTTAAAGGCAAACCAAACCATCTGGACACAGTTCCTTGGGCTTCGCAGCACCTCGCTGTTGGCCCGTTTGTTGAGACTTCAAAAACCAGCCATGTAAACACAATCAGACCTTTTCAATCTGGGGCCTCGTGCTCTAAGCTCCTGCCAGCACCTTCTGCTTACGGCCACGGCCGCAGCTCTCGGTTCCATCCCACCTCTGTGCTCCAGCACTGATCACTTCACACCAGAAAGCAGCCGAGGAAAGGGAGGTAAAACTCCATTCCTGCATATTACACTCTGCTGCGCTTAGAACCTGCTTTAATTTAGGATTATCCTTGAAGGTATGGATGTTTTCAAATCAAGAATACAGCAGGATAAGAGAGATGGCTGGGATAATCCCCCCAAAGCAGGGAGAAAGACACAGGAGCTTGGGGACAGCGCTGTTTTTCCCATTGAAGATGAGTTTTGTTTAGTTCTGAGGGGAAAATGACTTTTGCATTCCTTTATCTTTGCTGCAGAGCAAGAGCTCAAGAACATCGAGGGTGTTAATGGGTACATGTTATTTTCTATGACCAGTTAATAGTGCCTGCACAGCTAACACGGAGTGGAAGTCAAAGGTAACACACCCAACTACAAAACATGACGCGACTAATCATATTTCTCCCACGGTGACAAGTTCTGAACACAATCTGAAAATGACAAGCACTTTAAGGAGTGACCCAACATCATTTGAAAGCAACCTTCTAAAATGGGGCTGGAGCAGTATTTGTAGCCCCAGTAGCCACCGGAAAGGATTTCTGCTGCTTTTTCAATACTGCATGGAACCTTGGGTACAAAACACTCAGGGATATGGCATCAGCAAAGTCACCACCTCGGTCCCCAGTTGGTCGGGGCTCAACTTGCTTTTATGAACAGTTTGCAAAGACAAATGAATGTGATTACCACACTGGGCACGCTTACCTCCCATCCAAAGTTTGTTTCCTTTAATGTGCTCCTTTGTACTGTCATATAAGGTCCAAATCTTTCCCCAACTTCAATCTTCTTTTTGGCCCAAATCCCTAGCCCTGCCCCTGGGATCGAAGATTCTCTGAGTTCAAAATCTGGTGGGATTGGAATGTCATCAGGAATGTAGACGGGAGCTTCATAGGGCGAGCCCTCCTTGGGAGTGAAGTCCTCGCTGGTGGGAAAGGGTGATGGAGGTCCGACAGGGATGGGGGACATAATACTGTCCTCTGTTTCCTCCTCTGCACTTTCGCCAGCAAGGAGATCAGGGTCGGTCTCGTACATATTATTTACAATCTCGCTGTCACCTAAAAGGGGAAACAGCAGAACAAAAAACACTGAAATACCCACGTGAACATCAGTTAATCTCTGCTCGGGACAGAGTTTCACAAAGCCTCGCTCACACACGTTAAGGACAGTAGGGGCAGGAAAAAAGGCAATCCTGTCCTACAGAACTGAGGTGAGGCTGAGGTGAGGCCATCCATGCTGGCTGCACCGTGCTCGGAGATGGCTAGGGGTGGAAGGAGCACGAGCTGTGTCAGCTGTCTTGCAGTAACAGAAAGAGGGAAGAGCACACAGAAGAGATGTGCTCGAGGCTCTCTGCAACCACTGATTGCTTGAACTGGGCCGGGGTGTTTTGAAGTGGAGAGGAAAAGAGTAATTAAGGTAAAATCTGGCTTCGGATTCTACAACCGCAAAGCGTAAGCCATCTGAAGAGCTTTCATCTTCCTTTATCAAATGTACAGAGACTCCGTGTGCTTGGGATTGGTGATGCTCATGCCTAAGCTTTGCTCCGGGCCCACAGTGACAGGCAATATATGGGTGAGAGCCGCCTGCGCTGCCAGCAGAGCTGGAAACCACATCCTTTAGAAGCAACACCAGAGCTGTGGGGCTCAGCATCCTCGGGGCAACCCTGGAACCCCACAGCTCAGTGCCCAACACAGCGCTGGGAATCACTGCAGCAGGGAATGGGGGCAGCTGCCCGTGTGCCCGTGTTGGGGTGCACAACCAAGCAGGAAAACTCACAGGTGAACAGCCTTCACCCTGCATGGAGCTCCACGCTTCATTTTCCCCCAAACAATTAGGAAATGAGCACAATGGCAGTGAGCACAAATTATTATGCTTCAAAAAACTGCAAGTCAGTTCCACTACTAAACCTGCAACAACATGCATCCATTCTCTGGTATGCTACTGGCTCGTACGAGCTAAAAGTACTCTTCAGCCATCCCCCCCTTCCATCACTTTCCAAAAACAAGTGATTACCAGGATGCAGGGAAGGACAACGCAGCAGGAGGTGCTCTGAGCACTGGGCATGGGGCCATATTGTCCTTTAGGCTGCAAACGACCCGCTGCCTCCTTCCTACCTCTGAGCTCCACATCTCTCCCTTCTCAGTTTTTGAGGATGTCACCTCTTAACCTCTCAAATAAGCTGCACGGGATAGAATATCTTCCACTGAAATGCATTTTCTGCCCTTTTAAGACTCCTGTCTGAACCACTGGGGGTTTTTCAACAACTCTTCTGAACTACCCGTGTTAGAACCAGCCATAGGATCCCAGGATTGCCCCATGAGAGAGAAATTTTCCAAAGAAGCGCTCCTGAAGCCAGCAGCCTTCATCCCAGGGATGCATTCACCTCTTCAGACTGCAGTGCTAAACACGGCCTTGGGATTTGGAGATCCTTATCACACCGAGTGTGATACTTCAGCATCATAAGTGGGACTTCAGCGAGCAGAGCTGGGCTCACAGCTTGTATTTCCTATGTCTGAAATACGATGTATGTGCTTATAGAGCTAGCACATGTATATTTAGTTCTGGCTTCCCAGTGCACAAGGATCATCAATAAAGTTTCCTTCCAATTAATAAAAACACACCAGTTGCTAAGAAATTATTATAAAGAAAAAACAGTCCCTATTCAGATTGCATGCACTGAAAGTTAGTCGCAGCGGCAACATAAAAAAAATCCATAGTTATTAACCACAAATTAATGCTGAATTAATAAAAAATACAGGTCTTCTCATTAGCTGGTGCATCAGCTTCATAGCATACGCTTCACCATTAATTGAAACTCAGCATGCATTATTATTTCCTTCCAATTCCAGAGTTCACAGAGCAAAAATTTATGTCTGCTAGTGCCCAACTTTTCTATGCTAAACAAAAGATACTGTGTCTACTGGAGGGGAAAGCACCTCAAGGTATTGCAAACAGTGGTTAGTTATGCACCAAAATATTATTCTAAGAAGGTAGTCTCGAGGCACAGCTCCTAGAAGAGGTGCACTGAAATGCAGAGTCAAATTTAATAGAGTGAACGGTGCAAAAGCAGTGGCAAGCAACCAAGGTGGATGAATGAACCGCCTTGGAAAAAGGCAGGCTTTGAGGAGGCAATGAGCAGTGACCAAATAATCAGCTGAAATTTCCATTTCAGATTCTGGGAATAAAACTGGTCTTAGAGACAGCAGTGATGCCAAGCATCAGCACAGGCATGGAGGGACCCTGAGAAACAAGAGACGTGAGGAGTTCTCAGCATGCCAGGGAGCAAAAGAAAGGCCAGTACGTAAGGGATAGGAAGGGTGACATTGCAAATGGTGGACATTTCATAAGGTCATAAGGTTTGGGGATTTTTCCAGGAGGAGTCAACTGCGAGGCTGCAACGTTCAACCGGAGCGGAAACGGAGCTTTTTTCATCCGAGAAGAAAAAAAAAAAACAACAAGGGCAGGGGAGGGAAACAGATGAAGGGGAAAAGAAAAACACATTTGTCATCCAATACAAGGAGCTGAAGTATTTTGGGAACAGATTTGCCATCTCTCAATTAAACATGAGGCAGCATGACTGTGCTTTCATTGCGCCGTAGCTCCCACTATGATAACAAGGCCAACAACCGCCCCATTGTGGGCACGGCGCATCGAGAGGGGCTCCCACCGTGCAAAATGCTAAGGGCTGAGCTCTGTGCGAGGGGAGCAGCACCCAGCTCCAGCTCCCACTGCTGCCCCAACAGCAGCATCTCCTCATCCTCTGATCGCAGCTCCTGTACGCAGGGCACATCTCCTCTTTCTTTTTTTTACCTTTTAATGCCTAATAAAGATTTTCCTGAGCTCGTGCCTAAGCAGCCCAGCAGCAGGCTTTGCTAGAGAAGAGGATTCTGATTCGTTTGCCAACTTTTTTTTTTTTCTTTCTTGCTCTGGCCTTTTTGGAGCACAGAGGACTGCCTGCTGCAGCCTACAAACATTTCCTCTGCTAGAAAGTGCAACCCTCCTTACTCAAACATGTCACCAGAAACACGCTTTCATAAGTATTATGTGCTCCATAATCCTGAACATACTTGTGGTTGCTGTAAATGTTTTCTCTCCTGGTATTAGCAAGTCAAATTATTTTCTCCTCTATGATTAGCCTCTTTTGCACTTAAGAAACAGGAATTCCAACCGAGTTGAAAAGCAAAACTAGGTTTAGTGGAGCATGACCTGTGAAAAATTGCAAATGACACAAGTATAAAGACACCTCACTTCTGAGCACTGTTAATTCAGTCTCCGATATGGGATAATCAGGCCAGCTCTGATTAAATCTGAATTTACTCTGAAGCTGAGCCCAGAGTAAACTCCGTGTTTCAGGAGAAGTCCTGAAGTGCAGCTAATCTCTTCCTTCTGCCTTTTCAGTCACTAAATTGAGTCTCCTCAGAGGGCCCAGGACAGGGAACATGACCCCTTCTCCCCAGGCAGCTTCACTGAGTGCAACGTGACCATTTGGGGAGTGAAACAACTCCCAGCACAAGTTCCACCGCCACCCGTTGGGCAACATGCAAACAGACGTGCAGCGATGCACAGCTGCGTCAGACGGTGGAAGGATGCGTCTCAAAGAGACAAGGGTGGAATTTTGCCCACTTGAAGCCTGTGGATATCGTGAGTTGGATCATTTTTTTGTCACGCTGCTGCGTTTAAATGCTTAGAATCATAGCTGGGAATAAGGCAGAGAGATTCAGCTCAAGGCACGTGTCTCAGAAGGGCGCTCAGAAGCAACTCTCCTGTCGCACTCGCTGTATGAGCTCAGCTCTGAAGCTCTGAGTCCTGCTCCAAAAGAGCTTCCCCAGATGTTAGCTAGATGTCACTAAAACATACAGATGTGTGCACACATCTCCCTGGGCCACAGCTATTCCAGGAATCTCAGGCAGGTTCAGCAGCTGGGCTTTACTTCTGATTAGAGCTGATGCACCTGGGAGGAGTCCATCTGCTCACACCAATTCTGCGCTATGAAACCTCCTGGATTTCTGCTCATCGCGTTGCTCACAGTGCTGCAATCACTGCAGCATCTTTCAGCTTGCCCTCAGGGCCATCTGTCCCCCCCAGCACTCGTCTCCACGCTGCTCTGGCTGTAACACGAGTGCTAAAATACAGGCAGGGCACATTTTGCAGCTCAGAAACCATCTCCAGTTGCACTGAGTTTCCCCACAACGTAACTTGTGTGTCACTTAATGGTGACAACCGTGCTGTCCTACATCTGCCCCTCTCCTAGTGGCAAGCACTGCGGAATGTCTGCTTATGTGAAAAGTGCTACAGAAATACAACTTGACCTTACTGTTATTGTCATGAAACTAAAATTAGTCCTTCAGAGCTCACTAGTGAAATTACTCTGTAAGAAAGAGCCATTGAAAGGTTGTTTCCACAGATAATCAGATATGGGCACAGGCTTAAAATCTGTGTGACACCAATGAGGGTCCTGCAACAATGCGGGCGCTGCTTCGGTATTGGTGAGAGAGCTCATGAATAATCTATTAAGCAGCTGTAATGAAAGGAAAAAATGGAATGTTAAAGGAAATGTTGGTAAAAGGAACAACGCGCTACATTTAGGGTGAAGTTTTTTGGGGGAGGGGGACATTTGGGTTTTTATATGCTTATTAATATTAGTATAGAATGTACAATTCTGCCACAGAAATGCCCGTTTATCTGAGGTGCCCCAGGACTTTGTTCACTCCCAGAGCATCCCAGCTGGGAAACTGCACACCACGAGCTGCTCCACCGACCTTGAAGCAAACACAAACCCGGGCCCAGAGCTCCACTCCTTCTGCAGGCAGAACTCCCAGCGAGAGCAATGGGGATATTAAGAGCAAAGAGAACGCAGGGCTGAGCCCATAACACTTTTGTCATCCTCCATGGCATTGTGCTGTTGGCTGACACACGGTGACTTTCCAGGCTGAAATTTGGCAGGCGGCTCCAGGACGGGATGCTCACAAAAGCTGCCCATTTTCACTTGTGTGTGAAAGAACAGCGGGCTGAAAGTCCGCAGCGCTGCCAGGTCAGAGGATCCCTCTTGGAGAAGTGG